GATAAATATTGAAGATAAATAGTAAACAGAAGGTTCTTCATTTACTTTCAGCACTGTTCAGGCTTCTTTTTGGAAAATGTAACTTACATACGATGTCAAGTGACGTCAGAGTCAAGAGGTACTAAATGTCACGTGCAGTTTGACGAGCCCGATCTAAATCATAACAAAATAAATATATGCGTTCTGCATAACGTTCGCACCGTCAACATATTATTGAGAGAAAGAATTATTGTTATACCATGTATACTTTTGTCTTTTTATTTCTAAAATTTTAGGTCAGGACTGTGGATTTCTAGTTGTACAAGAGATTGTACTAGATTGTACTAGAGGTATATGATCACTGGACCAAAATCAAACTTTGATGCTTTTAATTAAGTACATACTGTGAAAAATTACACCTTTAATAATTAAGTGTAGTAAAGTTTTTTATGAATTTTGCTAAAAATGTACATATTTCGCTATATAGCCACAGGATAAATATTTTGATATAATGTGTAGAATGATAATATCAATGAAATATGTCAATATTGTTCCTGAACACACATGCGCTCTATAAATTTTAAAGCTTAAATTGTTGAAATTTTTTTTGTCAAAAGTTAAAAGGTTTTGTGATGTCATAAAAACAGAAACTGTGAATACACATAAATCATTGGTTATATAAAGGTTTCAAGTTAAAATGATGGGTTTATACCGCATATAGTTCTTACACCTTTAATAATTAAGTGTAGTAAAATAGCTAAATTAAGCTATATAGCCACAGAGCTAAATCAAGAGATTGTACTGGATCTTGCCCAAAAGTTAAAAGGTTAAAATACTGCAACCATAAATCATTGATATAAAGGTTCAAGTTATGATGGGTTTGAAGTAAAGGATACATGTACAATAGATATTTTTGAGGATTTGCGACTTGCCCTAAAATATTCAACTTGAAAAACAAAACAAAGTTCTTGGAAATGCATTAGTTTTTAAGTTATGATGGCAAAAAATACTAATAAAATAAGAAGAATAAAGGTTGAAAATGTGAATATGTACGATATGAATGAGAATAGAACAATTTTCATACAAATTTGGAGGTATCTTTTGTCTGAACCGTGTTGTCCTTGGAGGAATCAGCCATGACGATGATATCGACTGCGATGCTGCATTAGTGCATGCGCATTCTGCACTTTAGATCAGTATTTCAATCAGGATTTTTTTCAGTTCGGTTAAATCCCAATAACTGGGACTATAAATACCTCACACCACAGCAACATCAAAGTCAAATCTGATTTGACCTCCAGTCCTTTGGTACAAGGAACACAAACTGACGGCAAAAAATCAAATCTTCACATAATTCAAACAAGTTTATAAATAAGCCTTCTTGCCTTATAGGTATTAAATTATTTTTACACTTCTGAATTTTTTAATTATCATAAATTATAAATTATTCGGAACTGCATGGTCAAAATTCAGGAAACGACTATATAACCATAATAAAATTATTTACCCAGGAACTGAAACAGTACCTCCTTGCTTGTCGTAAAAGGCGACTAAATGGGGCGGTCCTTCGGATGAGACCGTATAAACCGAGGCCCCGTGTCACAGCAGGTGTGGCACGATAAAGATCCCTCCCTGCTCAAAGGCCGTAAGTGCCGAGCATAGGCCTAAATTTGCAACCCTTCACCGGCAATGGTGACGTCTCCATATCAGTGAAATATTCTGGAGAGGGACGTTAAACAGACCCACAATCAATCAATCAATCCCTAGTCCCCAAAAGTCATATTAGTTAGGGCCGAAACGTCGGGGTCCCAAAACACCCAGTACACCCAGGCGAATGAGGCACCTTGTAATTTATGGACTGGATGCTTAGAGTGGAGTTATGGAGCGGAGTTTGGAATAGGGTTTGTAGTCTATTTCTTTTTTTTGTCCCCCCCCCCTTAAAAGTGGGGGGTATTAATTTGGGCCTGTTCGTCCGTCTGTCCGTCTTCCTATCTGTCTGTAATGCTTTCGTTTCCACATGATATCTCGAGAATTCTTTGAGCTTTCGCAATGAAATTTTGCATAGCAACTCCCTATGTACTAAAGAAGAACCCTTTTGATTTTGAGGTCAATAGGTCAAAGGTAAAGGTAATGAATTTGCAAATTCTCTCTGTTATAACACTTCGTTTCCGTGCGATATCTCGAGAACCCTTTGAGCTTTTGCAATGATATTTTACATAACTACCTGTGGCATAAGGAAAACCCCTATTGATTTTGAGGCCAAAAGGTCAGAGTTCAAGGTCGTATATTTATACATTCTGTCTGTTTGAAACACTATCCTTTCCGGGCGATATTTCAAGAAGATTTTGAGCTTTTGCAATGTACGTTTATACCAAAACTCCCTTAGGACCTCCCTCACCCCTCTCAAAGTGTCCCGACCCGTTTGTTTTAAGAATATTTATTGTATTACATGTCGCTTGTTTTAGCACAGGGGCATGAGGCGAGTAATTTCGTATAAAACAGGTTCTCGGCGGACTTTATATTCTTATTACATCTATTAGAACTGTTTAATAAAGGTTAAATTTGACACATTGTGTAAAATTTTAACAATATCGAACGTGAATATATACATGTATGTGACTTCATCTTTGCATATATTTTTCGCCAGTTTACAGCTGAACCGTGGTCTAGTGGTATGTCTCTCGCTTCACATGTGAGAGGTCCGGGTTCGAATCCCGGATGATCCAACGTACAAAATTCAAATACCGAAAAACAGTTTTGGGATTTTAAACTTTTGAGTTTTTAATCTACCGTTTGTTCAGATAGTTTACGCTTACACTTCTGAGTTTTTAGAAATTTACTTTAAATATCCAAAATATCTAATTTCCAAACCCGATTAGAATTTTGAATATTAGTTCAATATTCTAACTATCTAAAAGCTCTTTTGCTTAACCAAAGAAGTTTCAAAATTCAAACCAGTTTTGGAATTTGATATTTCGGATATTTGAGGTAAAAGACTAAAAACCTAATTAAATTTTTGATAAAAATTTGAAATTTGAGTGTTTGAGTCGAAGATCTGAATTTCTAAAAAATTAAAACGTTTCAAAGTTGAAATTTAGAAGCATGTAACTAACAAATTATGTAACTGAAGTTTGGATTGTTAAGCGTTAATTTCCTGAACAAACGGTACATTAAAAACTCAAAAGCTTAAAATCCAAATATTGTTTTTGGAAATTTGAATTTTTAACATTTAAGGTCAAAATTTAGAACATTAAACTTTTAAAACCTGACTGTTTTTTTTTTATTTTACATGGTAGATAATGAATAGGTGAGTATATCATTTAAAAAAAACTACCTACTTATTAATTTCCATAAATTCTTAACCTTATAGCTCTTGACAGGTTTGTTGACACATCCCATTACACTGTATTTAAACAACCTGGCTATATTTAAGGAATCACTGTCTAGTTAGGGACTATGCCAGTGCATTAACAATAGTGGGAAACATGGGATAATTTGCATAACGGGCGAAGCCCGTTATGCTTAAATTATCCCATGTTTCCAACTATTGTTGATGTCCCTGGCATAGTCTCCCATTTAGACAGTGATTCCTTATATTTCCATTTTTACTTGAAATAACAATCTTAAAATAAATCGAAAACCCGTCTATTTTGTAGATTTGAAATGCAGGAGGCCCCATGACGTCAAATCTTACTATAAAAAAAAATCCCATTAAGAACACGAAACATATTCATTGATTATTTAGTTACTGTAGTCAAAAATCAACATTTACAAAACAAACAACAAAAGAATTTTAAACTATGATCAAAGCAATCTTGCATTGTTAACTTTAATTATATATGTGACCTAGATTTAAGTTGTCGGAAGCATGAACACGTGTAGGAGTATGTCACTTCTCCGCCGCCATATTGCATGCAATGTTGCAGTTGATAAAACGGGAATTGGTCAGCATGGTCAGGAAACAGGTTTGTGTGGATGTAAAAATATCAGAGAAAGCTGAGTTGCTTATGAAGTCAGATGGTAATGACTGAGGGACGATGCCTGTATTAGATGATGGAGTGCAGATCTATGTGGCAATCCCGACTTCTCCACGTGGTTCAGATGGGCTGTTTACCATGTTTACGGAAGTGGAATTCTCGGTCTAGCGATTTGTTGATAGTGGACAGTTGCGCTAGTGACTTTCTTTTGATCCGGAAAAATTTCATTATTTATTTTGTTTTTTAAAAGATATATCATATCTAATTACTTAGTAAACAATTAAACAAAACATTTTTCTCTAGTGTATTTATACGCCAGTGATATACATGAATGTTGACATTTTGACCTTTCAGTAGTATTAGAAATATACATACTACAGGTATTACCTTGAAATTAACACGATTCACTTTTGTAGTGTTTATCACAGAGGAAACAATTGGAAATGGAAACATTTATAGATTAATATGGTGTTCAACAGTTTCCAAACATTTTGAAAGAGCAGGGGTCATTTTGTCAGTATCATGTCTGTCTATTTACTTCTACTGTAAATTTCTCAATTTCCAAATATATATATATGTACATCACTGCATGTCATAGACTTACAAATTTTAATTAGGTCGTAGGATGATTGCCAATCTTTTTAATTACAAGGCATGAAATGGTCAACAAGTATGCAGAATAAAAACCTTCTATACTATTGAAAATTATTAAAAAAAAAAAAAGGTTGCCCAAAGTCGAAAATCCTATTTCGGGGGGTAAACTTTTTCTCAGTTTCAACTACTTTCAGTACCAGTTCTAATACTACATTTTCGGTACATCACTTAAAGTGGGGGGCCATTCAGGCTTTCTATTAACATTTCCTATAGTATAGGTAAGGTTGGGAAAAAAAGTGGGGGGGGGGGGGCGGGGCAGCCCCCCCCCCCAGTTGCTACGCCCCTGGTTCTTCCTTTCATGTTAAAAAAATTTATATATACTCCAAAATTTGACACAAATCCCGCTTAATAACTCCACTCCAAGCCTCCAGTCCATGAATTACACGGTGCCGCAGAATGAGAAGGGCACAGAAACCGAAAGTTGCACAAAAAAAGTAAATTGTAGTTTCCATCAAATTAGGTATGTTTATCGATTTTATTATTCTTATTTTATAAATACTATTACCATTCATGCTTTTAAATAGGCCTGTGTATTATATTAAAACACTGTAACGTTAGATCTATAGATGTGACTCATGACATTAGCCTGTCTTTTTTGTGTTTCAGATGAAATGGCATCTTTTCTGGTGCTATTTTATCTCTGCTTCAGCTTGGTCGATGCAGCTCAAAATTTTCAGGAAGTATCTGATTGTCCACGGAATGCGGACACATGGAAAATAGAATCGGACAAGAAAAATTGTCAGGAGTACACGCCCGACTATCTGTGTGCAGCGATAGAAAACAATGTTGGGAAATTCGGGGAAATATGCACGAAATATGGACTCTCCCCTGGAAGTAAGTAGGCCACTGTGTTATAAGTCAGGAGGAGGCAGAGATTTAACTGAATAAGGCCTATTTGTTTTTAATATAATATTGATTTGTCCATGATTTTAATAAAATAAATGGTTACAATGTATATCCTGTTATCTGCAACGCGTTGTATATGGGTTTTGGGGCACTTCAACTGTATTTGAAAAGATGAATGGTGGTCCAACATTATCAAAAAAAGGCAAATTATCGATCTTTACGCTTTTACGGAATGAGCCCCATGATTTTTAACTATTTTAATAACAAACAAACTCACTCACAAAAAACAAGGAAAAAGAAATGTAGTTAGCTAATAAAAAGTACCAGGAAGTCGCATATTATCGTATTTTGCGCTTTTACGGAATAAGCCGCATGATATTATAACTCCTTAAACAAACGCACACAAAAGAAATCAAAACCCTTAAATGCAATTATACTTAGGAAAGAAAAAGTACCACGAAAACGCAAATTATCGTTCTTTACGCTTTTACGGGACAAGCCGCATGATTTTAAACCATCCTTAAAAAACAAACACACACAAACACGAATTCAATAAAACAAAACCCTAAAATGTAGTTTGCAAAGAAAAAGTACCAGGAAAGCATAAAATTAACAATTAACCACAAAATTAACCAGAAAAACAAACACACTCACACAAAAACGAAAGTTAGCAGAGAAAATCGTGAAACACATGGTATTAATGTTGATAAACTCCTAGAGGAATTACTCCCAACTGTATAAAATTAAGTATTTTGTTAATATTCATGATCAGACCTGGGGTAATGGCAATGTGTAATGGTTAATGCATTGTAATCATTACATTTTTGAAAGTAATGGGGTGTAATGTGTAATGGATCCATCTTTCAATTGCATGTAATTGTAATGTAATGCATTACTTTAAAAAAATTTCAGTAATGGCCAATTACTTTTCAATTACCTTTCAATTACATTTTGTATATTAGTCTCTTTTTATTTTTGAATCTGAAACAAATAAATATCACTGAGAGGTTATTTTTTAATACTAATGTTAAGAGTCTTAAAATTAAAATCTTATATCCTACAATTTTTTTTTATATATTATTAAATGGTGATTGATAGACAAACTGAATAATTCTTATAATAGAAAACTTCTTGACAAGATAATTGTAAAACCAATTGAAGAGAACCAGAGAAAAATATTCGCTTTTTCCCCTTTTCATTCTGGTGAAATAGACTTGGTAAACATGATACAACATCAGTGTGATTTATTGTAGACACAAAGGGAAACCATAAGGCAAATTATAATTATAGACTGATATATTGATCATTCATTTTTGGTAGCTTAAGGCCTCAAAATTCAAATCCTATATTTAGGTACTTGTAATTATCACCTTTGGTTGTGTTTAATTTATAGCTTCATTGATTATACCTGTTTAACTAATTAAAAGTGCTAATTAATTCATTAACTTTTTAATCGTGTTTTACTTTTATAGTATTTTCTGTTAATTAAATATTAGTTTACAGAAAAAATATAGTACGAAATGTTTAATGAATCATTTATCAAAAAAAAAACAAAAAAACAAACAACAACAACAACAACAGAGAAACTAACATCAGATATTGAACAAAACTACAACATTGAAAATGTTCTGATCCACTTTCTTTGTCAACTGAAGATTCGATTGGTAAACCATGGTAAACTACATGTACATGATACATGAATCCAAAATCCAAATTCCGCTCTGATTTATCTGAGAAAGCTGTGAAGGAAAGTGTGGTCATATTTTGTGTTTTTCTCTTAAAAATCATTAAACAAAAAAATTTAATTAATTACTTTTCTGTGAAAGTAATTGTAATTTTATAAAAATTCCAAAGTAATAAATTGTACATGGTAATTAACCCCAGGTCTGTTCATACACACATATGATTGTGTTTTTCTCTAACGTCATAAAATGTAATGTGTAGATTTTTTTTTTACACGTGTTAATTCATTACCTTTAACAAAATAATAATGATTTAATTTATTTATTTTATATAATTTTATATAATTTAATTCTGAATTTTCATTTTGGATCTTCTGGTCCACTGGTATTAATTCAAATGAGTAATGGTAATTGTAATTGTAATGATGTTTATATAGAAGCTTAGACAAAAATTCCAAAGTAATTGTTACTTAATGCATTACATTTCAAAGTTAAAGTTAACCCCGGGTCTGTTGTTTTCATGATGAAACACACACACACACATTTATATATATATATATATATATATATATATATATATATATATTTTTTGTTGTAAAGTGCTTTAATGCTAAAACAAATTTGAAACTAACATATTTCTTACAACATATATATATATATATATATATATATATATATATAAAAACAGGAGAGATAACTATATATATATATATATATATATATATATATATATATATATATATATATATATATTTTTTAAACACTTTAAACAAGATTAATTTTTATGCAACACAATTTTTTAATGGCTGTTAGTTTACTCCTTTTGATATGAAAACATTTAAATGACTTTAATTTTAAAATTATTTTTTCGATAAAAAAAAATGTTTAACTCTTTGTTGTTTTTCTTCAAATTAATATTATAGTGATAACAAGCAAAAACTACCTTTTGAAATAAAACTGTTCAAAATTAAAAAGATAGATCAAGTTTACATTCGTGTCTTAATTTGATGAGAGAGAGAGAGAGAGAGAGAGAGAGAGAGCTTACATTTAATCCAGTTTATGTATGTAGAAATGAAACTTCAATAATAAGAATCGAATTATTTAAGCAACAGAATATCTTATAATGTAAAGAGCTCTCTACTGTTTTAGGTGTACCTGTACCTGTTTATTTTCGATTAAATAAAAGTTTAAAAGTATTAGTTATAGCTTTAAACATCTGCAGATTTAAGTCGTATACATAGCATACGTGTAAGTCAAAACATATACAATCCGTGTCTTATATAGTATCAAAGCAATGAACGCGGTACAGTTCTATTTCCACAGGAGTCTGAAGGTTTATCGTCCAAAAAAAAAAAATCCGGAAAAAATTCCATCCTCAACTAAATATTTTTTTACATAAAAACCAGACTTCTGTGCTATTATCAATCTATTCATTATTGAAATTATAATAATATCAGATATTGGTGATATAATAAATTGCCCAATAATATGTAAGCGAAATGATTTTATTTTATGATTTATTGGTAAAATAATTCCCGTGATAAACATTAAATTAGAGATATTTATCAAATTTTAACAAATATTTTTCAATAAATATCCTTATATTATCCTTTTTAGCGGTTTAACCAAATTCCTTACAAGAAAATACATGCATTTTATTTTGTTTATATTCAGTTGAAATAATGAACACGGAAAATTTCTGTATTAATTAATTTACTTAGTATATGATTCAAAACAACAAGGCGTTTACATGCATAATTATTATACCCCGCTTTTCAATATTAGTGATTGAAATGTCCGTCCGTCCTTCTGTTATACACACCGCTTATCCCCAACTCCTCTTATACCACTGAATAAATTTTCATGAAAATCCACAGATTTTTTTACGTAGTGCCATAAGATTGTACATCTCTGGTCCTATTTTACTTTTTGGTCGGTTACATATTTGTTTCCCTTGATTACAAAACACGGACAACGCCATTCTTTTTATAATATTGAAGGGTAGCCGTCTCTAACCCGCAACTCCTCCTATACCATAGAATAAAATTAAATGAAGTACTTTCATTTATTATTTATTATAAATAATGCCATTTTCACCTCCAAATATATTTTTTGGTTTAACACTTATTTCATGGTTTGCCATAATGCATGGTATGGGGGAGGGGGTATCATTTAGTGAGCTCAGTGTTCACAGTACTTCTAGTTGATGATTTACTATTTATATTTCCAATGTCTTTGTCCGAGATAAAATTACAAAGAGTTGAAATACTTTATTTCTACATAAATCTATTGTTTCACCGATAGGCGCGTTTTAAAAAGATCATGCGCGGCGGGACAAATTAAGACAGGAGCGGGACTTACAGTAGCACATGGATTTGCGGAATCAAGATCATGTACATGACTGTAGTTACATGTATAAATCAACTGCCTAGTGTGAAAATTTTATGCGGTGTAATTCTGCAAAATAACACGCAAGCCACTCGATTGATCACAATATAAAACCAAAATTTAGACAGTTATTCATAATTTAATCAAAAATTCTATTCCATATGAAAATAAAAAAAAAGACAAAATTAATATATTTCATTTGAAATTTGGATTAATGTTATAAAAAAAATGAAAATAAACCCTAGAAGGTACATGTAGAATGGCTTTAATAAATCAGTAATAAATTACCCGCTATTTGTATATACTTGGTATATATGTTCTTCTAAAACTCTTTGATTTTTACAAAAAAAAAAAAACCACTTTAATTGTTGTACAGAGTATACAGTAATTAATTGTATTTCACAATTTTTTTCTGTCATTATATTTAGAAAGAAAAAAAAAAGAATTCACAAATTTTCACAACCCAGTTGTATCTTGTTCATTGTTGTTGCCGAGGACTTTTTTTGAAATATTTGGGAGCAATTTCTTTCACATTTGGAAAGATTTATCGTTATTCTGTATTAAAACAAGAAAGTTGACAGCTTGGCCTACGTGCATCGAGGGCCATGATTTTCGAATGAATTCTATAAGATTTTCAATTGTACAAATCTTTACACGAAGAAATATTTTAGTATTGTGAAAGTATGCTTTATATTACAAAGATAATTGATATTGAACAGAAGTCGTTTGCTTCTCCCAGCAATTTTCCATCAATGAAAGTAACTGTTTGTTTTATATTTCACTGTGAAATATAAAACAACCAGTTACTTTCATTGGTGGAAAAAATACTAAACAGTTATTACTAAGTACTACTAAATTATTATTGTATTGTATACAATAATTAAAATAAAAGATTTAATAAGTAAAAAAAAATATTCT